TTTCCTAATGTAGCCTAGGATGCTGTGGGGCTTCTTTGCCATTAAGGTGGATTGCAGGGTCATGGTCAACTTCTTGTCCTCCAGGACCCCTGGGTCCTTCTCTGCAGAGCTGCTTTCCAGATGGTCGACTCTCAGCCTGTACTGGTGCATGGAGTTATTCCTACCCAAATGCAGGAGTCTGAGTTTCCTCTTGTTGAACTTCATGTGATTCCTCTCAAGCCAATTCTCCAGCCTATCCAGTACTCTCTGAATTGCAGTACAACCCTGTGGTTTATCAGATGCTTCTCCTAGTTTTCCCTGGAAAATGTTACCCTGTTTATCAAAACATGCAGAATAAGATCTGAGGAAAAATAGCAGCCCAATGTGTTACTAGAGCATTGGGTGGTCTCAGACTGGTCTACATCAGCAACACCTATCCAGCTTCCTTTAACTTCTGGGTTTTTACCTGTAGTAAGGGTTATGAGAAACAGATTTGAAATATTATTTAAGATGCATTTATGTAAAGTACTTTTTATGTGGTTTTCAGAATAGCATGGTTACTTTTATTATTAGAAAAAAGTCATTTTTCCAGGTAACGATTAATAGAATCATGCCCGTAGGCCTGTTTGCAAATACATGACATGGTTTTGGCTCTACTTTGAATATAGATTTCTGTGCTTGTTAGACAAAACAGAATTCTGATAACAATTTTGAGAAGTACTTATTCTTGCTTAGCTCTTAACTGGCTGGATAAAATGATGAGGTTTTCAATTTTCTTATAATGTTGTAAGTCAGCATGATATCCTTCACGCTTTATCAGACAATGTCTCTTCTTCTTATTGACAAAGTAGCACTCCTAGTGAAGTGAAACACATCTGCTGTTCTGAGAGGAATGCAGTTGCAGGATTTTACTTTTGAAAGAAATTATTTTCCTCTATGTTGGAGTTCTCATGAGAATTAAAATAAGGTAACAAAGTTAGTCTTTATTATAAAGTATTTGCTATGATGACTGCAATACTATTTTCCAGGAAAAAAAAAAATCTGACTTACGCGTTCATAGAAACAGTCATCATATATGTCTACAGAGATTTTCATAATACGAGCAGCTACTGAGTCCATGACCATTTGAAGCATTCAGAAGATGCTGAGAAGCTGTCAATTTTGTATATTGACATCTAGTCAACCTACGCAGTTTTATCTGTTTTCTGCTTCTTGCAGGGATCTGATTAATCTAATACTGCTGAGATAACTTCACATGCACAGCAACTTCTGTTACAAAACAATCTGAATTTCTCTGTACATATTGAAGTGATTCATTCAATGTGAGCACACAGCTTTATAGAAGGCATTCTATGACCAGCAGAATAATGAAACCTGATTTTGTGCTGATTTGTATCCTGACTTTTTCGAGCGCCAGATAGCCTTTTCAACCCTCAGTGTTCCCTGTGGCCTCGTGTCCCAGCAATAGTCGCTGCTCACAACATTCTCTCCATTCTCCCTCTGCTTTCCACATCACTGTTCCTCTTGTGTCACTGAAATAGTGGCTGAGCAAGAGGCATCGTGCGTAGCTCCAAGCTAGGTGCTGACTGGCCAGCTGGCCTGCTTATGGTGTTAACTATACAGCTCATATTACTGACGTTGTCTCACTGAGGG